GGTAAGTTTATGTACTTACCGATGCTTGCACTGGTGCTACTTAGTATGCAGCCTTTCCTGCTGAAGAATATTCAACTCTAAAGTAAACAGCARCCAAAGGAAACACGCTCGGATTCGGTTCACAAATTACTTTCTACCGCAGTGAATTAGTAACTTGGTTCTGCRTTGTGGTGAGATGCCTTTTTCCCCTGTTCTTGTACCATTGGTTTACAAATTCCTTTGTACTCCAGTGGMTTACTAACTTAGCTTGTTGTAGTTCACTGCACCAAAGTGAAAAAAAAACATGTAATTCCATTTTCCCATATTTCTTTTACTCATATGCTTCTAATATTAGAATTATCAAAAAAGGATAAAAATTGTAATTCACTTTTGAAACTTCCCCCATAGCTTTTTTTCATGGTGGAGCTATTGTACCGCTTGCCAGGTACATGTTAAAACCTGATATTTATATGTCTGTACATAACAGCTTTAGTCTGCTCTCAGGACAATCTTCAGCAAGCAGCTAATATGTCTAATGCTGTTCCCTGTGTGTACATACTTGCTTTGGTATCAGCTTTGCATCGTTGTCCTCTCTTTCCCTGTGTGCCTCAGTGAAGATATTGAACTCACATTCATGGTGTGTGCAACACTCCTCCTGAACCCATTACCATATGCTCTTTGCAGTGTCTCCAATAAGAATCTCCATAAAGTCCACATGGAAAATACAGTTATGTAGGCACTGCATTTCTACTGGTATGTCAGTCACTTTTTGGGGTAGGAAACAAAATAGGTCTTTTGAGGCTCAGTCTGCACTTGAGATACAAGAGGGATTTCCACTTGTTCAGAGTAGCTGGAGGTCACATCAATCCTTAGTACTTGGAAATGTATTTTCAGGCTTTTCCATTGAATTTACCTGCCTTAGCCTGATCTTTTTAGCTACTTAAAAAGTATAAATAGATGACTCATGTCAACACACCTGACTTCTTCAGCACCTTTTCTCCTCTACTTCTAAGCTTAGAAAAACCCCACACTAGAAYATCCCAAGTATTGATTTCTTTACTGGCTCTGGCACTGTATTCTAATATTGGTAACTGATTTATCTAAATAGTCAACTTTAATGTGAACTTAATTTGTCTTGTGTCCTCTTGTTTGTCCCTGGAGAATTTTGTGCAAAGCTTGCCCAAGCTGACTGCGTTGTGAGCAGCTATATTTGGGCTATTTTTTTTGTGCTAGGAAGTATGTGGGAATGGGTGTAGTGGCATCGTGTTTCTGCTGATAGTGCTGGCCTRTATTTATGTAGGGAGGCAGAGAAATCTTTCTGAGCAGGCTTGATTGTTGGTAATACATTGAAGGTGCTTATCAGCCTTTTAAATTGTGATACCTTTGCAGGCTACTGGGATGCTCGTGCTTAGTCCAGTTTCCTCAGGCTCTTTGTAGCCCTGGGAATGTGATGCTGTTTTTTATTTTCTTTTTTTTTCTTTAGACTTCTCTGCCTGGAAGGGTGGAGTTGAGGCTTTTCACACTAAGAAAATATTTGAGCGTATTATTCCAGAAGGCAGCCTGAAGTTTCATTTTTGGTGGATTTCTCTTGAAAACAGATGGATCAGGTTTCATGCTGGAGGTTGAAATAGGTCCTTGTCTTTCCAAGCTAGCAAGAGGAAAAGGCAGGGCTGCTGTGAGCAAGGAGGGCTCACTGTGTGCCTGCCTGAGTGCCATGGGTCCTCACAGCAAAAACTGGGGAAGGAGAAAGTCGGAGTGTGGGGAGAAACGGGGACATCCATAGAGYGTTGTCTGTGGCTTTTAGTGATGGTACATTTATATATGTATGTACTGTGCTTGTCTTAAATCAATAAGATATTTCGCAGAGGGCTTAATGTGTTTTGCCTCGTGGCAGATGCATTAAGTGAAATCTCAGATTCCTCATGCTGTAGCACTTTTCTATAATCCGCCTCCCTTGGAATCCATCTGGCAGTGTCTATTCATTTTCTCAGTAGATTTTTAAATGCGGCTGATTTGGAGTAATTTGTTTAATTAGCTCACAACCAGCTCTGTAATGGCTCCAATCTGGGCTGCTTTCTTAGCGTTTGCCCGCGGGGCTGATAAATGGTGCTGAGGGGAAAGGGCAGCTTCCTGTGAGGGGCTGAAGAGCCCTTGGTCTTGTGGACGGCTGCGGCCTGGAACCCCGGCCTTATTAGTTTCATTTACAAAGCTAAAGTACATATTAACTGTGGCAAAAAAAAAAACTTATGGAACAGGACATTTTTACAGTTACTTAAGTGCTTTGTGGCTTTCTACTACAGTAGAACCTTAGTTTCTAYTGTAGAAGTATGTAGCTAGAACAGGAGTTTCTACTATAGCACCTCCTCTGGACCAAAAAATGAACTAAGGTAGGTTAGGGGTAAGAGTGGGAAGGTGGTCTCAGATGAGTAAGAAAGAGGTGCTTTTTGGCAGCTAAAAGCACTTGCCACAGGGACTGTCATGTCTATAGCTGTCAAGGATTAGTCCTGCCTTGACTGCAGGGAACGCATCGCCATCTGTGTATTTAACATTGGCTTAGTGTAGACAAGCTCTTTGAAATAGTGAAAACAGCATAATAGTGATATCATTTACCCAGAGGCTATTTTTTTAAGTGGAAGTGATTATTTTGATACTCTTTAAAAACACCAAAYGAGAAAAAAACAGTTCTGATTCTTATTGCTTTGATTAACTTGAGCTCCCTGTGTCAGGAGTGTTGGTCAGTCACCATTTCTCTCTAGTTGTGTACAACAGTTGTGCATGTGGGAAGTACTCCTGGGTCCCATCTACTTACATGTGACCAATTGCTGATCTGAGCAGTGCAGAGCAGAGTAAAATAAAAAAAGACTAGGAAGAGGGCTTCCAGGCACTCCCAAAAGTGAGAAGGTGGTGTGGAAGTTCTCCTGATGCCTCTTTCTCTGTTCCTGAGTCTTTGCAGGCCAAGAAAAGGATGTTGTGCTTGGTTCRTCTGTGCAAGGCAGAAGGAGGGAAGCATCCTTCTGTACAGAAGGTCTTTTATAACGAATGCTTCCCTAGGAGAAAAAAGAGTGTAGATATTTAACTGTTGATATAGGTGCAACTTCCCCATCGGATCCTTCTCCTCCCAATATAGRCCATGATCAAACTGAAATATGAATTTCTCCTTATGGGAGCATCTGGATATGAGAAAATGGGAACTCTGGAAAACTGTGGCATATTTATTCAAAGTTTTTTTTCTGGTCAGTAGTTTCCACCCAGTACATACATGTGAAACTGTCATTTTCTSACTGCTCTTCCCTGCAGCCTCAGGGGAGCAGAGAAAAAAAAATATTCCTGCAACTGGGAGAAAGTTTGGAAAAGGCCGTGATAAGCTTTTGATGAATATTTACCAAGTTGTAACAACTTTTGGTTTTTTTTTGTGAAAACTCTATTTTTTAATGCTGTTAAACGTGTCCTGCCAAAATGATTTGCATTTGAAATACTAGTTTAGAGTGGATGGAAATTAAGATGTTAGATCAGAATATTAAACCAAACCTTTTCTACGAGGAGCTTTGAAATATTAGGYCAACCCCTAGGTCATATGAACACAACCAGACTTCAAGTTTCAGAAAGGACAAGACCTTGGGTGCACAACTTGGTGTTGAAAAAGGTAGGATCCCCACTATTTAGGCCCTTTTTAAGAATTTCAGTGAAGAAAAAGAGAAACTGCAAAATTTCTATACTAATTCTTTGGAAATCAAGTCAATTCTTTTAATTTGAAATCTAACTTGAAATATATATTGTGGATGCGCAGGGTCTCTAAGATGCTGCTATGGCAGGTATTTTGGGGAAGATGTATTTACCTTCAGCCTGTGGTTTCTGCTAATTAGAAACAAACCCCCAAAATCTGAGCCTACTTCAATAGTTTATTTTCTRTATATGAGTTTTCACATAAAAGGTATGAATAAAATGTGTGGAGATTTCCTTTCAAGTAACCTCAGAGAATGGAAAAAAGTAACACAGACTGACTAAGCCATTATAAATTAGCTGCACATCTTAATGTGTAAGTGATAAAATGTGATTAGTGACAGACACTTGGAAATGAAAAATGTTGTGTAGGTGTTTTTTGTAATAACAATGATTTTTTTCCTGTCAACTTATAACAACTGTAGCCTAAAAACCTTCTGGTAGGAGCAAGGACACTGTTTGGCTTGGGCTGTTATCAGCAAGTYGCTTTTGTTAGGCCTTCTGTAAAATTTCTTGCTGTTCCAGTATTGTGAAGGAATTGATAAACATTTGGCTGCTGTTTAGGACCGGAGTGAAACGGAGCCATTCTGCAGCTCTTGAATTGGTGTTGATATGTGTACAACTACTTCAGATAAGATAAGCGGTGGAATTGGGAAGGTTTTTAGAGAAGCTGTCTACATGAGCAATTCGTGCCTCACGTTTTGGAGCGATAATGCCGTGGTTCATTCAAGGGCTATAGGCACGGCAGAAAGCAAAAGCTCTGGGCCTACTACCTCTACTTGTCTCTGTGCTCTTTCACGTTTTCTGCAGTTTGTGGAAATTCCTTTCCTTGCAATATGCGCRTGCTGTGGTGCTTTTCTGACCCAGTGCGACTTTCTTCATCCGTGTCCTGCTGTGGTTACTGTRATATCATCTTTTCTTTTCCCTTTAGACTTCAGTCTTCTAGCCTCGTCTAAGTTCTCTGTTTCTGGAGCTGCTCTTGCTGAGGACTTCAGTAAGGTTTTTTACATTAACATTTCCAAATCCCTGCAGAAAATGAATCTTTCTTGAGCTATTTGCTGCTGCCAARATATTTAAGACATACAGCAGGTATTTCCATGCAAGTCCTGTCCTACTCCCAGGGAAACCTTTGGTTTATGCAGTCCTAATAGAACTGGGAGGAAGGGTGATCCTTAGTTTCTATAGGATGTAAATTTTGAGGGAGGCTAGAATAATAGAATTGGAAGGTCTGTCTTAATTATAAAATAAAACTTTTCAGAATATCACAGTGTTTTTTTAAAAACAATGTTCTTTGTCCATAGGGTGGAGTTGGTTTCTTTTGTTCTCGGGAGCTGAATAGGAGAAAGGGACACTTCATCTTTTCCCGATAAAGGTAAGACAGCATCTATTGATAGAGCTAAGACACTGCTCACTATTATGAGCTCCTAGCACGCTTGTCAATGGAGGGYTTGTTTGTTTTGGTTTTAAAGGAGAGGAAAAAAAAAAGTCTGTGCTTTGTAGTAAGTTAAATATGTGATAATGTGGTTTGTTTTGAGTGGAATGTGCAATTCTACCACGGGTATCAGCAAAACCTGTGAAGATAAGCAAGTACATGTAGTTTCAYGTGACAAAGTAGAAAGCAATTTGTTCTGCTGCTGGAACCTGTGACATTTTTTATATTCCCTTGAACTGACCTCAGGCTCTCTCCATCACGCTTGGGTGTTCAGTGAGGGTGTTTTAAAAAGAGCTAGAAGTCTGTACCTTTATTCGAAAAAAGTACAGAAATAGCTCTTATGTACCTGATACGTATTGCTATATGAGACAAGAGAAGCTTTAAATGGGAAGAGTTCTGAGATGTTTTAACTGAGGTTTGCTATTAAAAATAAGCAGTAAATGCCTATCTTTTCCTTTTCATAAGCAGGAGAGGAAGGAGGCAACGATATTATGGAAGCTGTCTGCAAGACATGGTTTCCCTCTGTGTCCCTTGCTCTGTATTCTGCTGAATGGTGTGACCTTTTCTAAACATTACAGAATGTGAGTTAACATTAAAGCCTATGAGAAGCGTTTAGAGGTATAGCCTGTAAACACGCATTGACCTCTTCACTGCACATTTTGACGTTGAAATTAGCACAGTTGCCTTTGCTTATTTCTCCTTGGCAAATTTTGGAAAGTATTTGCAGGAAGAGTGTTAGATGACACTTGCATAGCAGGGGGGGGTTGATGGAGTTTAATGACTACCACCTGCTCTGCAGCTTGTCATATATGTGCTGTTTATGGCCTCTAGTATTGGGAATGCTCTGTTTTTTTTAAGGTAATGTTTAATTTATCAAGAATGGTAAAGCTTGATGGGACTTTCTGAGAGTTAAGTAGTTGGTAGAGGAGGAGGAAAAGAGTGAAGCACAACAGCGTAGGAAAAGCCTGAAGTCTCCAAACTTCACCAAATTTGTTTGTGCTCAAGTAGCTGTAAATTTTGAGGTTCTTGGTACAAATATTGTAGAGTTTTATAGGTGTATATAGATACAGTTTCAGCAGTTTAAAAATGCTTACTGTGCTATAGTTCACTGTCTCTGGGGGGAAAAAAGAGCTCTGATCATCTGTATACCCATATGGCTGTCAGTGCATAGACACTAAGTTATGCTGACTTCTTGTTGAAGTGGGCGATTAAAATGCTTTTGGTAGAAAAATATTCTTTCAAATTATTTGAGTGGTTTCTGAATTTAGGCTTTAAATTCGATCTCTTAACCCCTGAAAAATGCAAATAATCCCTCAGATTTCAGTCAAGTCCTTCAAATACATTCGGTAACTGTGACATTAAACCTCCCTTTCTTTGCTCTGCAGAGTTTATGAAGCTTTTTCATCTCAGAATACTTGCATCTTTGTGGGTTTTGTTTATTTAACATTCATAGTCTCGAATGCTAGATTATCTTTTGATTTTCAAATCAAAAGATATAGAAGAGAAATTTTCCTATGTAAGTCATGGCTGTACTGGAGAACTCAAGGGCTCTTAGTAAAGGAATGTGTTCTGGTATTGGATTTGCTAAAGATGCACGGTAGGAAAATTGCTATGCTAACATACATAAATGTATTAATTTACAGGTAAATTCATATGGCCTGAGCCTAATCTCATTTGGCAAAGACTTTGGTTGAAGGGAATGACAATTTACTGGGTTAGGATCTAGTTGAGTCTGTCCGATATGTCTTTTTTCCTGCATTGACAAACTCATTGCGAGTGATGCCTTTTGTATATACCTGTTCAGACTGTATCTACTGTGTGAACTTGTTGGACAGAGGCAAATAATTATGTTTCTATTCTGTCTCTAAGGCACATTCCTCTGAAGCAGAGCACTCCTGTATTTTCTGTTTTGAGCCAAAGTTATTTGTCTTTAGAGACATCTCCTTGCTGCTTGTGCATTCGTTAAACCTTGCTGAGGGATACATGGCTAGTGAGTAGGCTTGAGCCTACAGTTTTTGTATTTGACAAACTTGGGTATGTCTGACACCTGAGGTGTGTGATTTCCTGTGAATATGCAGAGAATACCCTATGTATCAGACTGGCAACACTTAATTAGCTCTGTGTGTGAGAGGTAGGAATTCTTATTTAGAGCTTTAGTGCACTAGAGGGTTGAAAAATCTTGAATTATGCCAGARATTTCCAAACAATTCCGGTTTTGGTTTTTATCTGGAGCTGGTAGCTCACCTGGAGCTGTACAAGGGACTTGAGCTATATAGACTGGGTAACTTGGTGGCATCCCTGGAGAAAGGGCATTATGGTTTGGTAGCCCTTGTGGTGTGTTTTGTGGGTCCCTACACTTCCCCTTGTCACTACTTCTGCTTCAGCTTATATAAACTTCCAGCAACTTCCACAACTTTAGGTWTTAAGGCCGTCTTAGCTGTTTCCCAATATTATGTGTTTGTGCTCATACTGAAAGCTTTTGCTCAAGTCTGTCGCATGTGCCTAGTTGTGGGACAGATGCTTTGAAAATTGAGCCTGTGAGAAAGGTGCAGGTTCTGCTGTTCTTGTTGCAGCCCTCCCCGATCACTTCATAGGCTGGTTAAACACAGTCACGTCCCTGGGACAGGAAGCTGAGGGAGGAAAATGATCAGAAACTGCCCCTCATCTTCCTTGAATTCTCCTGTCCTGGTTATGGCCAGMGATATTTTTTCTTAATCAGAATGTAATCTCAGTCCAAAACGAGCTTTCTTGCCCATGTGAGTCTTAATTCTTCCTTCCCTGCCTTCCCCCCTTCTTTTTTTAATAACTTAAAGAAATCCTTGGGGCAGCAACAGTCTTTGTTTTATAGCAGAGCACCAGCTTGTGCTTATTTTCCACGAGAGGGGCTGTGTCAGAAAGCAAATGCTATCCCCAGTAATAATATTTGCCTCAGAGGAGCTTGACCTTCTTTGTGCTATTTTTGGAAACAAAATGCCGGAATAAGCATTATATCACAAATCAAGAAAGGGAAATAGGGTTGCTATTTCGCTGAAATATGAACAGGTCTTCAATACTGCTCAGATGTTTGTTTTATTGGGGGAGCCCAACTTTCCAGGAAGCAAGCTGTTTTTTTGACTTGTTCAGTTTGGATTTTTCTGCTAATTTTCTGTAATCTGGTTATCAGAATAGACAGTCACTGGTGCTTGGAAGGCTTATRTAAGGATGAGGACTGAACCACTGCAAGTGCTGTTTGCATTTCCAGTATCTAGTTGGCRGTGGAGCTGCTAGGTGAGTGGGATGCAAGGGTGCTCTGTGACCAGGAACAGCCTTTAAGCTTATTAATGAGTGACTTAGGGCAAAAAGCAACATAGCAGGTGTGATTTGTACTTTTTCTCTTCTGGACTCACTTCCTTCTGCATCTGAAAAACTGATCCAGGAGATGGAGGCTGGGAGAGGAGTGGGTGCTGCAGAAGGGAAATGAAGATATTGCCTGTCTTTTATAATACACCAAAGGTAATTTCAAGTTTACCCATACCAATATTACATGTGAAGTTAAGATATTTAAATACAATGCTTACTGACTTTTATATTGGCTTTATTCCTGAGAATGCACAGGAAAATATGCTCTGGAGGGAGGCAAACAGAAGAAAGGTAAACTGGCCTGGTTTGTGCTCTACACTGCCAGTTAACTGCAAGTGTGCATGTGTGTCCATATTCCATACATATATTTGTATTTATGTAGGGAGGGAGGTCTATGTTTATATATATATACACACTTGAAAAAGATTGGTAGAAATTCTCAAAGGCGGGATGTAAAAGGTACTCTGGAAGGTAGGAGATGTCCAAAGAACATTGAATTCAGGGTTTTTTCTTCCTGTCCACTCAAATATTCCAATCCTTCCTCATCACTAACACTCAAATGTAGGGAAAAATATTTAATTTTAACTAGTGATGCTGAAGGGACAGGAATTCAGGAGGGAGAAGCTAGAATGGATCAACTTAACTGCAACAGTTTGGGATTTGAAGTGTCTGGATTTGTTTCTGTGTTTTTGGTGGTCTTGTTTTCCTTTTTGTTTGTGTTAGTTTGTTGTTTGCAGAGAGGGAAAAGGGAGAGAAGAGATTGGTAGTATGGTGTGTTATTAGACCTGACAGGATGGACGCTTGGGACATGTCAGGACTGAGATTTGGTTCAGATATATGTTTTTATTGCAAGAAGCGTGGTGCAAACAATTACAGAAAGTMAAAAGGCGGGAGGAGATTTTAAAATGTTAAGGCAACATGACAGAGGAGTTTGAAACCACAGACTATGCATGGAAAAGTTGTCCAAAGTATGAGTTTTAATATGGACATTATCTGTGTACTCTAAAAATAAAAGCTTATTTAGGCATTTATGAATGGAAAACTGAGGACTTCAGAACCAAGGTAAAGTATTAGTATGCAACCCCTGAGGCCTTGAGGGATCAAAAGCAGGATGTAAACAGCAACTGAAAGCACCTTATCTGGGTACAGAAAGTACTGTTAGAGTCTCCGTGTCCTTGAATGAAACTACAAGTTGTAGGACACTTGAGAGAAAGAAAATGTTCCTGCCCTTGGGAGTGGGAAGGGGTCTGTGACATCCTGCCGAACACAGAAAATGCACATTGTGTGGGTCTCGAGGACTGTGAATTCCCTGCTTGGAAAGATGTGTGGCAGGTCCAGAGCAAAAGGGGAGGAAGCAGAGCATGGCTTCAACCTGCACAAGAGGACTTGCTGACTGAGGTGCTTTCTARTTACTCCTGGCATGTTAGTGTTAAAGCAGCCTCTGTGAGCTCAACTTTCCTAAAAAGAGCAGCAAGTGCTTGGGAAACAGATCATTACAGTGCCCTGAAGATTACTGACTCCAGGCCTGCTTAGCTAGCACACAAGTATTTCATATGCTGCCCCAAGATAGCATAATAGAAGCATGTGATAATTTTTCTTCC